GAATCAAATGTTCGCGGGAAGCCTGAAACAGGCAGGCAGGCAGCAGGTAAGCTGGGGCGGCAGGGGGTGCGAGGAGGCGCGGCCCAGTCCGGCCCCCCCGGCCGAGCGGCTCCCTCTAGTGGCTGGCCAAGAGGCTCTGGCCCTGGCGGCTCCGGCCCTGGCTGGGGCGCCGGGCTCGGCTCGGGCCCTGGTTCCGGCCGAGTGGCTTTGACCCGGCCCCGGCCGCCGGCCAAGCACCCTCAGCCCTGGTCCCAGTGGCTCGGGCCCGGCTCGGGCCCCGGTTCTGGCCGAGCAGTGCCGGACGGTGGCGGAATCCGAGCTCGCAGCCGCCTCCTCCCGGGCTCCGGCTGCTGCTGCGCTGGGGAGAGTGGCAGGAGCCGGGAAAGTTGGAGCCTGGGGAGGAGGCGGTCCCCTTACCATGCCTCCCTATTTTCCTGGACATGTCTCGCTTTTTGGAAATTCCTCCTGGACGGGGATTTGAGGACCAAAAAGCTGGACATGTCTGGGAAAATCCAGACGTATGGTAACCCCAGTGAAGACATGTTATGCTGACAGGAGAGCACTCTCCCATCAGCATAATTACTCCACCTCAGCGAGAGGCAGAAGCTATGTCAGTAGGAGAGAGTAACTTATGTCACACAGGGGTGGCTTTTTCACACTCCTGAGCGACATAATTTACATCAACTTAAGTGGTAATGGAAACAAGCCCGTACTCTGGGACAGTGTCCATATGGGGGATATTCCAGAATAACTATTTCAAAATAATTTATTCCACCATAGCTGTTCTGGTCAATTTCCCCGCCTAGACCAGGCCACAGGTAAAACCTCCAATGAGCTCATAAAGAAGCCCATGAGCTGAACAGCTACACTTCAAGCCATTAATTTGCTCTTCTGAAAATATCTATATTATAGAGAAAGCAGCATAAAAATCTAATCTTTGGGTGCATAAGTTTTCCATTCTTGGTCTCTGTCTAGAGCTGAGATTTGCAAAATCTCAACAGAATTGGCGCAGACATTGAAAAGAGTGAAAATACTGTACATTTCCCATTATAGAAAAAAAATTACAACTTTTTCTACAGCTGAAATGACTGGGGGCTAATAGCTGAAATTTGGGATGGTAATAATCCTCACTAAGGGGAAGTATCTTGCCTTGGGGAAGTTGAGAAATACCAAATTGATTATTGCCCAGGCAACCTTAATTTAGGCTCTTTGTGTACATGCACTATGATTTTTAACAACATGATCACATACTAGATTTTCCATATGACCCCCATGTCTTTCCGTGCACAGACTGGATGAACACAGGGCCAAATTAAAGTTGCACGGCACCCATAAACATGGTGTTTCGTAGCTTTTGAGTGCTAAAATACATCACAGAAAAGAGGATTATCATATACCAGGCCAGACTGAGCTTTGACTCAATGGCTTCTGTAGTAATCCTTGTGGCCCCTTAGCATCGCTGCCCAGGAAGAGCCCCAGGATGTACTTGTGACTCAAGAGTGGCAATTGCTTTTCTACTCTTCCCCTACCCTCGTTTTGGGGGGGAAGTAATCTGTGACAGTTCCTTGCCACGTACAGATTTCCCCCTGCCCCATGTTGGCTCAGTTTTGCCAGCCAGTGCATGATTGGGGAGAGCAGAGTCAAGGCTCCATCCCACCCCACCCACTTGTGATCTGGGAAAGTGGCAGTCATGAAGAGTGAAGGTCCAGGAAGCTGCACAAGAGGCCCCTGTGTGGCCATGGAAGACTAAATCAATAAAATCAAATGGAACGTAATAATATTATTATGTAAGGATAAGAGAATGAATATTACAAACTACTACACACGTGTATTGAAAGTTGTAGAAGAAATTGTATGAGATTATATTATGGTATTTGTGAAATGGTATCTATGTAATTAAACATCATAATGAATATGCACAAGAGGTAGACTTAACATTGTGCATCCAACTGTAAGTCTGGAATCTGTAGACTTTTGGGTGTTCCTCTTCTCAACCTTAATGTTCTCTTGGCATCTTTTTAAAAAATTTATCAATGAGTGCTTATCTGATAGCTGCCATCATAGCCAATGTTGGGGCCTGGCCCAGGAACCTTCAAGGCTAAAAGCATGAGTCTCCATAGCTTGAACTAATGAGCTACAATCTTAGGCTGACAGCTATCAGACTCATCCTCTGTGGATTGAATAAAGAGGGGGATACATAACACTTATTGATCAGTGGGTTATACTTGCACCCAACTGCTCCCATTGGCCCACACTTTAAGTGGCCTTTTGCAGCCGTGTAATTCCCGCAAAATTCTGTGTTTCTGTCATGCTCGTGAACCAGGCAGAAGGGCATCTCCAGAGGGCTCCACCTGGCACTTTGGAAAATGGAAAAGAGATATGGTTGGCACATCACAGTTCCAAAAAGTCAAACTGCTGCATAGGGCAGTGGTAGCCTCCCTGTACTCTGCAGTTGTAGGTCTGCAACCACAGCCTTACTGTTCCCTGGGTCCTTCAAATCTCCCATCTGCATTTTTTGTGCATATTTTCTTGTTTGCTTGATCTGTGCAATGTTTTCCATTTTTCTTAATGCCCTTATTTTAAAATACCCCTTACATGTTACTTTGTCTCATAGATGATATTTGATTATCTTTAGATAGCTTCAGGATAAGTGATTTGAATTTTCAAGATTGAGGTGTCTGAACTTTTTGGCTTTTTAGGAACTTACTAGACAAGAATATCTCACCCTAACCTCACCAAGCACATCATTAGAAGTAAGCTCCCCAGAAACCAGGACACACCAATTCAAAGCGGCACCAGACCCTACCATAACAACTGATGCAAAACTTGCAGACATATTTCCACTTCTATGATGATCAACATTCCCCACAACACACCTTTTAAGATCCATTGGTCCTACGCCTGCCTATCTCAATATATGGTGTACCTCATTCAGTGCACTAATACCTCAATAACATCTATGTGGGTGAAACCAAACAATTACTCACTCTTGAATGAATTCACACAGAGAAATGCTAAAACAGAAAATATCACCTCTGGGCAAACACTTTTCACAAAATGATCACTTCATTTCTGACCTCTCAATCCTCATCCTCAAAGGAAACCTGTGCAACACCTTCAAAAGATGAGCCTGGGAGATTAAATTTATAACTTTACTAGACACTAAAAATCATGCTCTTAATAAAGACACTGGATTTATGGCATATTACAACAATCTGTAATCCACTAACCACTCTTTTTTGTCCTATGACTGCCAAGGTGTTAACAGGTCACTTTACCTTGAATAGGTTTCAGAGTAGCAGCCGTGTTAGTCTGTATCCTCAAAAAGAACAGGAGTACTTGTGGCACCTTAGAGACTAACAAATTTATTAGAGCATAAGCTTTTGTGGGCTACAACCCACTTCTTCGGATGCATATAGAGTGAAACATATATTGAGGAGATATATATTACCTTGAATGGTTCTTACAGTGTGTTAACTACAGTTAGGGTGACCAGATGTCCCGATTTTATAGGGACAGTCCCGATTTTTGGGTCTTTTTCTTATACAGTCTCCTATTACCACCCACCCCCTGTCCCGATTTTTCACACTTGCTGTCTGGTCACCCTAACTACAGTACTTATTTCAGAGTAGCAGCCGTGTTAGTCTGTATCCGCAAAAAGAACAGGAGTACTTGTGGCAACTTAGAGACTAACAAATTTATTTGAGCATAAGCTTTCTTGGGCTACAACCCACTTCATCAGAATGGAACATATAGTAAGAAATATATATACATACAGAGAACATGAAAAGGTGGAAGTAGCCATACCAACTGTTAGAGGCTAATTAATTAAGATGAGGTATTATCAGCAGGAGAAAAAAAACTTTTGTAGTGATAATCAAGATGGTCCATTTTAGACAGTTGACAAGAAGGTGTCAGGATACTTAACATGGGGAAATAGATTCAATATGTGTAATGACCCAGCCACTCCCCGTCTCTATTCAAACCCCAAGTTAATGGTATCTAGTTTGCATATTAATTCAAGCTTGTTGGAGACTGTTTTTGAAGCTCTTCTGTTGCAAATTTGCCACCTTCAAGTCTGTTACTGAGTGACCAGAGAGGTTGAAGTGTTCTCCTACTGATTTTTGAATGTTCCGATTCCTGATGTCAGATTTGTGTCCATTTATTCTTTTGCGTAGAGACTGTCCAGTTTGAACTCTGGTTCTTTTAACTACTTATGTTAATCTATTCTAATTTGTATTTAGTGAGTACCTTTCCCAGACCTGAAGAAGAGCTCTGTGTCGCTCCAAAGCTTGGCTCTTTCACCAACAGAAGTTGGTCCAATAAAAGATATAGAACTGAATCACAGAATCACCCACCTTGTCTCTCTAATATCCTGGGACCAACATAGCTACAGCAACACTGCAAACAGTATCTTGAATTCATCGTGCTGAACAGCTCACACAAAATCTGTGCTTTGTGCAAACTCTGAAGTATCTATTGTGGATCTGTCTAGTTCTGCTAGGTACTTTTTTCATACATTAGGATGGTATTTCACTTTCACATTGGCTACTGTAAGCATTATTAAGAAAGCTACTAGCAATGGTAGGGTTTTGAACACAGTAATTTCCTTCACAATATTTTCCAAATAGGTACCCTCTTTGATTGTCACTCTAAAGGTCTGGGTCAGTGGTATTATAATTGCTCCAAATCATGAGTTACAACTGATGAGTTTGCTTCCTTTACAAAAATGAAATACTTTGCTAGCTTCTACTTTTCTCATTCCACTAGGAGATTTTGATTACAGGTCATTTCACTATAATCTGCCTCAAATGTTACAAGGCTTTTTGGGCTCATCTCTGCAACTGAATTAACTGGATTGTGAAGTTGGTAAACGGACACTGTCAACTCAGATTTGGCACATAATGTAAATTATGTACAATAAGCTTTTACCAAATCTCAGGCCAATAGAAATGTATGTTTCCATTAGCATTCATTGTAAAATTCCATTGGAATCAGTTGTTTTTAAACAAATCAACATTACACTGTGGTGTTTGCAAATGCTGTGGCCACAAGAATCTTAAAGGGAAACTGACTTCAGTGCCCATGATGAGAGAGGACTGTAAAAAGCATTCAACCACACAAAATAGTGAAGAATAAATTGGATTTTTTTGGCTTCTGAGGACAGCGTTATATAGGGGTAGAGGTGTATAGGTAAATGTGTTTATAATATCATTTTAAATATACAGCATCACGTCAGTTTGGGAGCTTGGTTACGATGGATGAGCAGCTCTTTGCAATAGCAGGACCTTTTTGAAGTGACAAGTCATACAGAGGATTAATTTAAAAACCCATCTTTTCAACATAGCATTCCCAAATTAAAATAAGATCCAAGTCCAAAACTTCTAACCTTCTGGTGGGGAAAGGAGTGGAGAGAAGATCTGCTTGTTTACTTTGAGTAATCTCTGTAAAGTGTTCAAGATATTTAGACTACAGCAACTATCTTTTGTATATTCACTGTCCAGCACAATGTGCCCTGATCTTTACTGGAGACTCTGGATGGACTAGTAATAAATATGAATTAATAATCATACCCGACAGTGACCAGGGTAGAATAGAAATATTTGTTTGCACTCTCTTCTATTTTTATTGCAGCTTTATGCAAAAGTCATAAGGATGACAGCAGCACTTGAAGTGCAGGTAGCATAGTCCCACTCAGAACTACAGCCTTTCACTCGCTGCTCTGGGGCAGAGGTGGGAAAGAGAAAGCTGTAGAGGAGATCTCAGGCCAGGCCACTGGGCTTTGGCACAGGGTGAGTTCTTTACAGTGCTAAGGGTGCACCATTCCCCCTCCTAAAATGCAGCTGCAATTTGAGAACCAGGGCCCAGATCCACAGGCAGGTATTTAGGGGAAACATCCACTGATCTGTACCCAAGCCAGTTTTTCTTTGCTTCCTCTCTCTTGAAGGAAGCCTAGAGTCAGCAAAGCACTTAACAGGTTGTTTAATTTTAAGCAGGTGAGTAAACCCACCCCTAATCAACAAGGTAGGTCAATTAGATTATTCATCTGCTTAACATTAAGCACCTGAATCTCCCCGTATTTCATCCCCCGTTGAAATTCACCCTGGTGGATAGGACTAACAGGAACACTTAAGGAATGGGTGCTCTTTTTCCTACCCCTCTACATGGGGGTGACCAAAACCCCTTTCTTGACTGATTAATATTAAATCTAGGGTGATATTTGTCGCTTTGAGACAGCAGGTGTTAATGCCCTTGCACCTTTATTTAAATAAATAAATAAATTAAATAAAATAAAGGCTTTAGGACACAATGTGGTCGAGAGGGGGTAACGCTGTTGCTGCCTACATAGCATTTCGTGGAACAACTTCTGCCAGCCTCAGCTGTCCGGGGGGGAGGAGATGTACCTACCCACCCACCTCTGGCCATTCAGCCGGCGAGCCGGTCTACCTGCCAGCGTGGGCGGGTGGCGCTCGGCCGGCGCAGGCTCCCTTACCTTGTACACGTTGACGGGGATGGCGATGGTAATGTGGAGCAGGTCCCCCAGGGCCAGGCTGGCGATCAGGATGTTGGGGCCGTTCCTCATGCACTTGTTCTTGTAGATGATGCGCAGCAGCGTGGAGTTGCCGATGATGCCCAGCACGAACACCAGGCAGGACACCAGCGTGTTGATGTACTTGAACGTTTCCTTCACCTCCGTCTGCCCGGTGCACATGGGCGGAGACAGCGAGCGGGCTCGGCCGGGGTCGCCGGCTCGGCCGCTCCCGGGCACAGCCGAGCTGGACGCGTTGGAGCCGGAGCCCTTGAGCCCGGGCGTGCGGGTCACCGCGGCCCCCGGGGAAAGCGGGCTATGCTGCGAAACGCCCCGCGGGCGCGGGGACCCCCTCTCCTCCCAGGCGGCGCAGCAGCTGAGCAGCAGCGCGGGAGCGAGGAGGCTCCAGAGGCTGGGTCCGTGCATGCCGCTGCCGGGAGTGGGGCAGAGCCGAGCGGCGCCGGGTCCCACTGCAACGGACAGACAAGAGACAGGGATCAGCCCGGCCGCGGGTCTCCAGGTGCAGCGCCAGCCCAGCCGCCACCCACCAGATCAGGCTAGCGGCGCCCCCTTGTCTACACTGCAAGCGAGACACCCGCGGCGGGCCCGGGCTGACTCCGGCTCAGGGGAAGGGGCTGGGGCATTGCAGTGTAGACGTTCCGTAGGACCCGCGCCGGATCACAACGGGGGGAGCCCTTCTCCCCGCACTGAGCAAGAGCCGGGAGTGGAACGTTTAACGCGGCTCAGAAAGCCCCCCTCCCCCGCCAAACCGGGCGGAGGCTTTAAACGGAGAGGCGCCAGCCCCCCCCCCTTACAAAACGCACCGAGCCCCGCAGAAACCCACTTCCTTTCCTGTCCCGTCCAATGTCCCTTTCAGAGAGCAAGAGCAAGCTGCGCTCCCCCTTCCTTAGTCCGAGGCAGGCGCGCTAGGTGTATGGAAACAGCGAAATACATGCAGTGAAATATCGATTTGCTTTTTAAGCACCGACCTTAGGGGAAAAGTCAATTGCAGCTAGCGAAAGGGAAACCCGAGAAACAATCGGAGCGGAGATTCCCACCGCATCGCCCCCCTGCCTTAGCTGCCCCGGCTTGCAGCCCTTACCTCCGTCCCTAGGGAGGGTTTCCTCTCAGCACCTCCAACTCCTTTATCCGTTCAAAGAAAAGCCCCAAGATTTGGGGTTTTTTTTCTCCCCAGGGAAGAAAACGCGTGTTCAGTGGCTCGTCCTCAGCTTGCTATAAAAATCTATTTACCTTTCAAATCCTCCCAGCACAAACCGGCTGCCAAGAGCGGGTTCCTGCTTCCCAGAGCTTGCCTGCGATTCAGCACCCGCGCTCTGAAGGACGCTGCCTGGTTAGCAGCAGCTTGGCTCTGCAGCCGCAGGAAGAACTGGCTCCCGCGAAACGACTAAGTGGCTGTCAGCAGCAAAGCAGCCTCTCCTCGCTCTCGGTATGCGCCTAAATCCAGTAAATTAGGCAAATCGGTTTTTTTTAAAATTCAGTCACATCTTTCCCATCAATCACTGCCAAACTCCACCCGCTCCCTCCTACAGAGCAACAACCTTTCGTCCTGTCCCTTTGCCAGACTCTGGCTCCCCCAGATGCCTGGAGAGCATCAACAGAAAGTTTCCTGCTAGCAAAGGCACGTAAGGGTCACTGTGGCCAAATCTGCCCGCTAAATGGGCCGGTTAAGTTGTTGATTTCATATTGGTTTTGAGAGTTTTAAAATGATCTGGCCACATTTAAAAAAAAAAAAACCACGAGATAATTCAATGCTTCTAGTCTCCTAGAGTAGAGGTTCTTACAACAAAATTTTGGTGGCCTTGGAGTGCAGCCAGCAACTCTTGCTGGTGGCCAGTCCCATAATTTTTCCTAAAATACTCAACTTTAGGAAAAACAAATAAATATGCACATATACATGTCCCAATCATTGTAATGTATGTAGGATTTTTTTTTTTTGCAAATTCAATAATAAAAAGAATGTACAGTTGTCTCTATTCTTTACAGACCCTAAGTAGATTAGAAACACAAATAAGGTGCTTTGCACGTTTTTGTCTTGTTTCCTTGTTTTTTCTTTTGCCTTTTTTGGTTGCTTCTTTCTTTAAGACTTGCTAGCTACTGAGTCTCCTGTGAAAAATGATATTAACAAACATATACAAATATCACTTTTCACAACAGACTTACTCAGCCCTGGCAAGCCCAGGGACAAATTAAGCCCAGGATGAGGAGGTGGGTACAGAGACAGCAGGGGGCAGGGGCAAGGCGGCAGTAGGCAAGGGTGATGGGGGGAGCTCGGGGCCAGAGCCTGCCAACGTGCAGCCAGGGAATGGAGCCCAAGGGACAGGGCCTGGGGATGGAGCCTGAAGCCCTGGGGATGGAGCCTGCCACCCACTGCCCCAGGGCTGAAGCCCAACCCCACTGTCCCTGGAGGTGGGGAACTCACTGGCTACCTGTTCCTCCAGCTTGTGTGTCTCCAGAGGGAGGGTGGGGGTGGCAGGGCCCAACCACTGCTGGTGCCCCTGGGGGAGGGGCACTGCTCCTCCTGTCCCCCCGCCCCCATCACCCAGGAGGCTGTGGCCGCATTTGCAAAATGCTGTTGGTGAAACCAAGCAGGTTGTGTTTTTGCAACTGGGTTCTAACATAACCATATTGACAACCCGTCTTAAATATTCATATTTAATATTAAAGGATTAAATACAGTAAAAACTAGTCTGCCAGATTATGGGGCAAAATAATCACACAACTCCTTTTTCTGGGTCTTCGAATGTATCTATCTTGGTCAGTCTTCCTATTTGTGTCTTGGAATGACCTGAGCATGTTGTCAGCCCAATAATAATTTTCTTTTGTGAGATTTTTTTTATTACTAAAAACCATCTCAGATTTCGACTAGTGAAAAGGGGCCACGTTACCACTAGAGGTTTGCCCAAATTCCAGTTTGAGTTTCTGCTGATATTCACTCTGCCTTTTCAGTTGAATATTTTAGCCTTTACTTTTGGTTCTAAATTGCTGTGTAGTATCGCTTCTCGGCTCTTTGAGCTGTGGCGCAAACCTAGTATTGTGTGCTATAATAGCTGTCACATGCCCCACATCCAACCCGCCCTCCCCCAGCGGTATCTATTGGTGAAAGTAAGAGCTTAAAGTGATGGGAAGTTTGCCTGAGAAAGAGGAGTGCAGGGCTAGTGCCATAGTTTTTTAAAGCGCTTTGTGGGATGACAGGTGTTATGTATGATGCTGTTCTTATTAAAACCAATTTTATTATGATTTACACTAAGTTACAGCCAGCTAATCTGATTAGCTCTTTGCCAGTTTAGGCAGCTTTAGAGACTGTTCTCAAATAGGGGCTGGAATCACGGGTCTCATTAATAGAGCTTAGGTTTATGCAATGTTTTCTTCCAAAGTCACAAACAATCTCTGAAAGTTGGAAGGAATGTCATGTTTGGTTAAAGAGACTTCAGTTTAAAAATCCTTTTCTAACATAAGTACTTATTTCTCTAGGATCTCAGTTAAATCACGCCGAAGGCCAAATTCTGTTGTCATCTACACAGCATGTGTGTGTAAACACTGTAATTTACGTAAGTGGCTCATCGCCTTCACGTAAATTATGATGTGTCAGGGAAACACTACATAAATTGAGTTTTTAAAGTCTCCCCATAGTCTGGCTTCAGACTAATTGCTCTGCGTCCCTCTCCACCCCCCCGCCTCTCCTCGCTTCTTCTGCTAATCTAGTACTAGTCTCATTTCTGCCCTTTCACACAACAAATTTGCCACTGTGGGTTAGAGAGCCTTTTCACCGCTAGTTCCTGCTGTCTAGATCAACCTTCCTGTACCTCACCCATCCATCTGTTTTCAAACCTTGCCTGAACATATATAACTTTTCTCCCTTAACTATAACTCTTAATGTATCCCTCACACTTTCTTTTTTGTTTTATATCAGTTGTAAAATAAAGTCTGATTTGTACCAGTGTAAATGAGAGCAGCCTATGGCCCAGCTGAACAGGATTCACTCCAGTTTTCAGGATCAAATCACAATTTTGTATTTTGCAGTTATAACACCACAGGCCAAATTCCACTCTCATTTACTCCAGTGTAAATTTGTATTAACTTGATAGAAGCTTTGAAATAAATGGAATTACATCACATCTTTCACTGGCCAGTCCTGTACCCTGCAAGTTAACTGTATTGTGCGAATTAACAAACTTCATTGTTTGTGCCTCAAATTTGTGGAGTTCAACAAGTTACCAACCTATCTGCTAGTGCAGCCAGGATTCCAGACAGCTGCTGGTACTTTAAGCATCATGTGGTCTAGTCCTGTTCAGAGGAGGTGTACATCATTACATGGCATAGCACTTAAAATGCTGTTGGCCGCCAGCACCTTGCCTACAGTAGGTTTCAACTGTTAACACTAGTGGAGCTGAATCAACAATGTTGGGAAATTTTAGGTGAAAAAAATCCTAGGATAGACACAGCAAGAGTTGTTAAATGGACAATGGACAATCCTCCCTGCTCCTCTTCCTGGCTATTTTTACAGGGGATGGAAAACTTGGGAAATAAAAAGAAAAATATGAAAGACATATTGTTGTCCCAAAGTCTTAGGTAGCCAATGAATAGGTAAAGAGAAGAAACATTCTAAATGAATTGGATGTGGGCATAAAAATAATACTTTGTCTCTGAATGTAACATAATAGGGTTAAGTAGTGTAAATCATTCTACCTCTGTAGAAATTAGTACAACCCTCATATCTTGCACAACTGAAATCAAAATTTCAGTGAAATACTTAGCAAACTCTTATTCAGTGGATAGTCCTATTGATTTCAAGGACTATTTGAGTGAGTAAAGATTTGCAGGATCAAGCTATTAGTAATCCCAGATTCGTTATTAAAACATAGCTGAGAGCTTTTATTTTCTCCTATAGTCCAAGATTAAAAGAAATCTGACACAGAGAAATTAATTCCTCGGTATGAAGCAAGAAAATCACAATTTAAATATTTAAAATTCTTAAAATTAATTAAAATGGCAATAAAGTAGCTACATTTAATTTGATTTGTTGTAGCAAAAAGACAGTGGACTAGATTGCCTTCTTTTAAAGGAAAACACAGAATGGGGCTTTGAGTGAAGGAAAACCTTTTAGTATTTTGTCCAAATAATTTAGGCCAGTGATTGCCACAGACCCTTCCCCTCCCTTGCCCCCCCCCACATGCACCACCTGCTGCAAAAGAAGCAGTGGGTTCAACAAACCCCATTTGTATCTTGGAGGATCTATTGGAGGCACAGGGATTTTGCCTGAGCTTTGGGCATCTGCTCCCCTGGCAGCATGACTCAGAGGGAGCAATGTTTGCAGGGATCCCTCACCAACTGATCTCCTGGAATCTCTCCCTCCCTCAGGGTGGTCCCTAGGCACTGAGGAAGATCTGTGCAAAGGTAAGTGAAGCCTACAGATTACACAAACTTTAGGATGGGCACACTTGACTTTGCTGATGGGACGGGGGTGGGGAATGCCAACACTTGAACGTGCAGATGGCCCTTCGCATTCTGGGGAAAGAGGGTTTGGGGACTGGTGCTGCGGCAGAGACTAATCTCCCCTCCCCCCCTTTCCATGTTGGAAGACGGACAGTCAAGCTTGTGCCTGGGTCCTAGAGGAACAATCCCCCCTCAATATGTCATTACAAAGTTTATTTTTCTTTTTCCCCTGATATTTAAAATCAATGCAGCCAGCACACTTTTATATATTTTAATTTTAAGTTGTCTTGTTTAAAATGTTGCATTTACAACATGGATGAAGACGTACACACTTATATCTTTGATGGGAAGTAATTGAAAAACCAGAAATGCAATCTGTTTTTGTTTCAAAAATGAAGGTGACCATGTTTACTTTTGAATTCCAGATGCAGCATGAGATTGGATCTTCTTCTTCCTGGAAGCCTAGATAAGGTCAGTCATAAAGAACCATTGGGAATGTATCTGTGACTGAGAAAAGTATGAGCTGGCTCAAGGATGTGATAGCCAACCATCTATTGTTTATTTTGCTACCTACAAATCACTTTAGGAGAGCCTACCAAGAAATGGTGAAATCTAGCAGACATCCTGTGTCTGAGCTACCATGATTCACTTAGTCTTGCTTTTCTCAAGTGTTGTAGAAAGCTTACTCTAATGTGAATAGAACTGTCATATAGATGAAAGCATAGATGTAAGTATATAAAGCTGAAATGATTCTCCTGAAAAATTGCACCCCAATGAAATCACAAATCAAACAAAACCTGGAATGCAGCACAAATCCCAAGTAGCCAGTCTATTTGCTAGGGATGTCTGTTGGGGATGGATGGGGAATGTCCTCCTCTTCTCAAGACTCAGGGCTGCAATTGTACTCATGGCTGGTGCCTTTCCTCTCCATGAAGGAGAATTAATGATTGATCTGCATAATTAATGGGATTACTTACCCAAGTAAATTAGCAGGATTTAACCTTAAATGAAAAGGATTGCACAGGACACCCTAATAGGTATTACCCACTATGTACTTTAATGATTGACAATGCTACCTAGATGAATGTTTGCAGTGTTGTTGTAGCTGTATTGGTCCCAGCATATGAGAGAAACAGGATGGGTGCAGGAGCAGCG